TTTGATGACATACATTAAATGGTATACACAGTTCATCTAACATATATGTCAAATTTTGGATCCCCTAAATAAAGGGATGTCTTTCAAAAAAATCAAACACTCGAACTGTTTAGACATTGCTTGCATTATAGATTAAATATATTTAAAAAATTATAATTTGAAAAATCAAAGATTACGGTTAGTTATAAATTTCATCCTATTTAATATATATTAATACTTTAAGAGTGTTAATGTAGATTCCTAAAAAACTAAAGATTTTTCAACTAGAGAACGCCTGCCTTTCTTTGTAGTGTGTTCCGTACTGAATTTAAATCATCTACCTTACGATAAACTCGACTACTCGATATACTCTACTACATACACAACACATATCAAACTTCGATAACTAAACACAACTAGACTCGATGCTCCAAAACTACGACAACAACACGTTTAACTTAACCAAGCTCTATAAACGGTGGTTCCAATCAACAACGATTTCACTGGACCTACTACTACACTTTAAACAGTCAATATAATTCGATACCTTAATACCACAATAATCAATACTCCCGAAGTCCAGAACTACGATACTTCATCACCTACATTATCATTTCTCTACTACCAATCAGATTCCACTAGACCTTCAACTACACAACAGCCAAATAAAAAATACGAAATTTAACACTTAGATACTTTATACCTACGAAACCATTTCAGCAACAGCCTTCCGCCGTTACTCCCAAATCAAACGATCATCAAAACTTTCCAAACAAGTGACAATAATTTGAACACCCCGTCATTACAAAACTCTATACAGCAGAACAGATTTAAAATTCAAAGTCAGAGAAAACGAAACTTACAAGCCCTATTAACATGTTCGAAATTTAAATTACGAACTTATTTAATAATTTTCTACATCAATTATGTGACACCAAATTCAAAAGGCAAAATGACTGGTAAAAAGCGCCCCAACCTTTCAAACTTAGGGAGGTGGGGTTGCATTTTCACCATCGCGAATAAATATAGGCCCATATAGATATAAATTTTGGGGTGAGGGGGGGGGGTGCAGAATTAATAGTTCGTCCTGGGTGCCGAAATTTATCGCTACTCCTTTATAAAAGTTATCAATTATTAGGTACTTTTCGATAATAGCGATTAAACCTTTTGCACCCCCTTAGGGATGGCGCCCTAGGCGACCGCCTAGTTCGCCTTATAGGTAGCGCCGGCCTGAATGAATGAGTATATTGTCATCAGTTAGAGATCAGAAATGATTAGACACGATTAGTCATGAGTTACGTGTAAGTAACGCGTCTGTTGACTAGGATTAGATAAAATAAAGGCATTTGTTATAATGTTAATGGCGATTTAGAGATACATTCATCTCTCTACACGAGATGCTGACGAGATCGGTGGTAAAACAATATTTTATTTATCGTGATAGTCTAGTGCCAGTTAGGGTTAGCCAATGTGAAAGTATTGATGTACAACACAAGAATAGCACGTGATCTCCAGAAATAAACGTGTTATTTTAAAACAAAATGTTTAGACCCACATACAGCTTTAACAGTTTGCCAAACAAATTTTCAAACGCGAAAATCATTAAAAACTGAAATGCTTTTGAACTGGTTATGCGCGTTTGATGTGAATTTTAGAACAGCCAATTGTATCATGCGCCAAGATTATGTGAGTTTGATGTGAATTTTAGCACATCCAATTGTTTCATAGCCCGAGATTATGTGAGTTTGATGTGAATTTTAGCACATTCCATTGTATCATGCCCCGAGATTATGTGAGTTTGGTGTGAATTTTAGAACAGCATATTGTATGATGCCCAAATCTATGTGACTGATGTAAATTTTAGAACAGCAAATTGTATGATGCGCCAAGATTATGTGTGTTTGATGTAAATTTTAGCACAGCCAATCGTATCATGTAGTATGTGTGTTTGATGTTTGAAGTTTGCCATAAAGAGGCAAACATCACGGCATATCGGTGATCAAGTTTTGCCAAACAACAACCAAGAGATAACAGGCAGGGAAACGACAGGCGATTGGACGATAGAATATCTGGTTTGATTAGCATTAGGCATGGCTGGTCGGAGGGAAGGGTGTGTGGAGAGATTGCATGTGGGGAGGAGTATGTGGGGAGGTTAGATGTGGGGAGATGTGTGTGGGGAGGAGTATGTGGGGAGGTTAGATGTGGGGAGATGTGTGTGGGGAGGAGTATGTGGGGAGGTTAGATGTGGGGAGATGTGTGTGGGGAGGTTGCATGTGGGGAGGGGTGTGTGGGGAGGTTGCAGGTACGGAAGGGTGTGTTGGGAGGTTGGATGTGGGGAGGGGGTGTGGAGAGAATGCGTGTGGGGGAGGGGTGTCTAGCTGTGGGTATGATGTGGGGTGAGATTCTGTTAATGTATTTATTTGTGGTGTTTTGGTTTAAATCGATAGGAGAGTAACAGGCTGGGAGAAGGTTACCGTCGTGAGATATCAACTAGACAGTAGGGCTAAAGTTTAGGGGTCCTGATGGTAGGTCAAAACCAGCGTTTCTTCCTTTTTTCTCCGGGAGGGGTAGGGGAGTTGAAATTTTCGGGGGGGGGGGGGGGGTGAGGCGGACACTGGTAAAAGTATATATTTCTATATAAATTTCATTTCGTTCTTGGGGGGGGGGGGGCGGTAGACTTTCTTCGGGGGCCCTGAAGGGATGCCTGGAAGAAACTCCGATCAAAGAACCCATGGTCAAACCCCATATGGTCTAAACCCCAATGGTCAAAGCCCGGATGTGGTCAAACTCCCTATAGTCAAACACCAAATGGTCAAAGCACATGTGGTCAAAGTTCCGATGTGGTCAAAGTTCCGATGTGGTCAAAGTTCCGAGTACCGGAATAGGCAAGGGTTTGTTTAAACGACTTATATAGGAACACTTGCAGGTAGGAGTAAGGGAACGTTGTAAACACGGTTTACAAATCGAAGATGAAAATGAGCGTCCTTAATTGAAAACAATTACGGAAATAAATAAAAAATGTAATGACTGGTGCAGTTACAATTATACAACATGAGGGTAAAGATACTCGATCAGATTCCAAAATAAACAACATATCGGAACAATTTCTACATAATTAAATCGGTAATTACATTGAATTAATGAGCGTGTGGCACCCACTAGACACTGATAGGTTTCTGTCAATAGGAAACTCGGCAGTTTCAGAAGGATTCTATTTTTAGAACAAGGTCATGGGAGATTGTCTCTATCGTTAAATTTCTCAGTTCGGTAAAACAAAAAAGTAAAGGGGTTTAAAAAAATAAGACGAATAAATATACGAGGCTTAATGGTCCAATCGATGAAATCCTCATTACGCCACTCAACTTATCTGAAAATAAGATTGGAAATTAGGTAATTTAAAGTACGGGATTGTAAGCGGGTAGTTCAGTCGTATGAAATGGTAAAAAAGTATTTTAGTCGTATGAAATGGTAAGGTGGTTGCTTTGTCGTATTAAATGGTAAGGTGGTAATTTAGTCGTATAAAATCGTAAACTAGTTATTTAATCGTATGAAATGGTAAGCTGGTATTTTAGACGTATGATATGGTAACCTGGTATTTTAGATGTATATGCTGATAAGGTTTTATTCTCGAAGAGCATGTCGTTATTTTAGTATTCTATTTTTAGAAATAACAACACTGCTTAAAGACTAACACGTGAACACAGCATCCAGTTTTTCTTTCATCTTGTACAAACCGTTAGAATAGTTTTGAATGTAATCAACCCTAAAAGTATCGCAGGACCAAGAATCAAGAGAGACAAATGATAAACTAGGTTTTAGTTACGTGTTTTGATAACTGGTATCGTCAATGTGCTCGATAGTATCGTCGGTGGTATCTGGTATCGTGAATGTGTTCGGTAGTATTGTGCGTGCTAGCTGGTATCGTGAATGTGCTCGTTAGTATCGTGAATGAAATTGATGGTATCGCGATCGATCTTCCCAGTGCAACTTGGGTGAAGGTCATTTAAGAGTAGATAACTCCCGTGGCCTTGCTGAACTTAAAACTTGTTTTTTGCTAATCAATACTTATGTCATTTAACGAATTTTCAAAGACAAATTAGTCATTTCGAAACTAAAACTGAGTCTAACTAAAAATGAATCATTCAAAATTAATTAACGAATGGCTAAAAAAGAGTCGAAAGCAGCACCACCTAACGGTGTTTGTTTTTATTTAACGCATACTTGTTTTTGATCAAGTGTAGGTTATAAACATGAATAAATATGAACATTTTTAAAACTAGATCGATGACAATCAAACTTGTTATATTATAACCAATCAATTATTCTGTATTCTAATTAAAAAGAACTATTTAAAAACAATTCTAATATTTATTTCAAACCTAGTAATTGTGTTAAATTTGCTGGACTGCTAACCAGAAAGGCTCTATTTCGAATCCGGGTTCAAGTCAGTAGAACCTCCCTGAGTCCACCCAGCTCTGATGGGTACCTAACTCAAGTTAGGGAAAGTAAAGTAGGCTGGGCATAGTGCTGACCACACTATCTCTTCATATCCGGATGTCTCTGAAACAGATGAACTCTACTTCATCTGCCCCATGTATCTTGGGCACGAACGTGAAAAATGAATGAATTGTGTTAAATTAGAGCTTGATTGCGACATCTAGCCTGCAAATTAGAATTCATGTTTAAACTCTCGGTTCGCAATCAAATGACGTCACAGCCCAGACTTAGAGAACGAGTAAAAAAAAAACCTCCCTATAAATTAGCAAAAGATATCACGGATTATGTGGGCTCAAGACCTTTGAAATTGTGCGAATAAAAATGAGCTGGCTCTAAAATTAGCATTCTGAAAGCGAAAAAGGAAAACTCGGGCACAGAGGGTGGGGATGGGGTGGGAAGGGGGGGTGGGGGTGGAAATGTTTCACAAAAGATTAGCAGAGCCGTGTGGTGGGGCGATGTGTCTTCTGGTGACCCGAGGGGACGGGCGTGCCATGACAGGTGCCATCCTGTGAACGTGGAATATTCTAATCAGCTGCTTGGGTTGAAGGTTCCAGCATGTTCTGCTGGAGGCGTGACCTGGGTTCTGCCGGAAACGGTCCAGTCTAAGTGACATGTGGCAGAAGAAGTAGAGTTCATCAGAGACCTCGGCATATGAAGGAATGGTGTGGTCAGCACTATGCTCAGCCGCCTTTGTTTTAATCCAGATTCGAACTCAAGATTTTCTGGTTAGCAGTCCAGCTCTCTACCGCTAGGCCAGGTCGTCAAAATATCCTATGGTCATGGTTACTGTTTTGTCCCATGACGTCAAACCTAAACAACTGATGTCATGACGGAGTGAGCAGAAAACTTTGGACCACACCACTGCTCAACGGGATGACGTCACAAAAAAGCCTTCCAGCCAAACTATTCAATCCAGTAATTTAAAATGAGGTTGTCTTTTAGAAGGGGAAGGGGGGGGGGCGATATATTTCTGGGTGTTGACGCCAAAAGGAATCGTCTGGTCTGATGCCAGATGTCCAAGAGTCGCCAAACGTCTATGACGTGGTGGACCTACTTAAACGTTTATGCCCTTAGACAGGCTGCCCGGGCAGTAATAGCAATTTTCATTTAGACACTCATACGAACATTATACATATATATATATATATATATATATATATATATATATATATATATATATATATATATATATATGTATATATATATATTGTATGTGTGTAAAATATGTGTAGCAGTGTACATACGTACATTAAGCATGTACAGACCAGCACTGCCCACCACTAGAGGGTGAGCACTTAGACCGAGCCGACGTGCCCAGCATCCCGCCAAGGTCCACTTATTTCTCATGACAACTCTCAAAGACAGGACAACGACCTTCCCACCATGCCGCTGTAATAATCGACGTTCGTCCTCCACCATGCCCCGCTTCCCACCCAAACTAAAGGGTCAATTCTGAACAAAAGGGTCAATTTATGGTCATTTATTTCTCTCCCACTCGCGCCCCGCGCCCTCCCCACAAGGCTGCCCTACTTTCACCCTGCTAGAGCGTGATGTCAATTAGAAGGCTAAGTTATAAGGACGTTAGTCGTTGCCATAGGGATATAGGATTTCAGCCAATCAAATGCTTCGATTGTTCACGTGAGGACGGAGCATTACTTATAGGGGAATTAGTACAAGTATATATATATATATATATATATATATATATACATATATATATATATATATATACATATATATATATACATATATATATATATATATATATATATATATATATATATATATATATATATATATATATATATATATATATATATATATATATATATATATATAATGTTCATATATAGATACATATAAAATGAGAGAAAATGAGAAAGTGGGTTAGAGAGTTAAGTAATGAAAAGCTTTACATCCCTTTATTACTGAGTCAATATATGTTGCATATTGTAGATCATTCTTTATGGTGTAACTAGTTAATTTATATAAACGGCAGCTGTATGCTGTGATGCAGATATAGTCTGTAAATAATGATATAAACCAGGGCACAGCACATTATGTTTACTACTTTTAGTACAAAAAAATATTACAAAACCACACACACGTACATACGGCTGAGGAGATATACTGATTAGATACATACAGACGCCGAAATCAAGATGTAGCTCAGTATTGACAGAGAGAGTTGATAACATAAAAAGAGAGAGTTGATAACAAAAAGAGAGAGTTGATAACATAAACAGCAATGGTTGTGGAGAAGGATGATGATGGTGTTAATGAAGCTACAGCGATGGAATAACGATTAATGTTAAGTTTGATATTATGTTCATAGGGAATGAGATTTAACTTGTTTTTTTTTTGCGTTTCTTGAGATATGGTTCCACAATGTTGTTACATAATGTAGCATAGACATTGATTACATATTCAACATTTTAGATAAAGTATCAAATGACGCGCGGTGACGCAGATCTAGATTAAGTCGGTTGGGTTGAATTACAAAAACACATCATACATCTAGTATCGCTGAGCTTGGTGTTGAAGCTTCAAATAAATATACAGCTGTGGTCAAGATAGTAGGACACGATAAAGCCACCGGACCTGCCAATCCTGGGATTAGAGTTATAACAAGAATACAGCGGTGCGAACAGAATTACTTTAGACAAAGCCACAATAGAAACGAAGGCAGACTTATAACAAAATTGGAATAAAATATGATTTGAATATAAATGTGGACAGAAGAACTAGATTTCATGAACCCCCCCCCCCCCCCACAACAAACAAAGACAGACTTACCAAAGTTGGGGTCAAAGATCAAACTGTCAACACTGGCGTCGCTTTTGGCACTTATACTGCTGGTGTCATCGGTGAACTGCTCACTGCGCATGCTCGAACGTGACGTAGTTGACATGGACGACGTCTTGGGCTGCACGGTGCGAGATTCTCGCGAGATTTGTAAATCCTGTTTGAAATTAAGGTAGTCACATTGTACAAATGTAATGACTCGCTAATCTTATGATAGTTACACTATACAGACATACATGCACACATACGCACACGCACACACACACATACATACACACACACACACACACACACATATATATATATATATATATATATATATATATATATATATATATATATATATATATATATATATATATATATATATATATATATATATATAGGAACACATACTTTATGTTTATAACGAAACTATATAGCGTTAAAGTAATTAATGATTTATACATGGATTTTTTTTTTCATGCAACATGTGTTGTCTAAATGTAAATGTCGGTGTCTTGTTTTACAAGAGCTAGAATTACACTGCTATACTTCAGAGTTACATATAAATAAACAAAAAGAAATATAACCATACATCTCTTTTAAATACGTTTAAAAATCAATTTTCTAGATCCACACAAAAATGGACAACAATGTGTACGCTTAGTCGAACAGAAGGTTTGTTTTGTTATGACCCATGGGCTAACTCATGTGAATTAGTCATTAAAATCTAATTATCTCAGTACATCCCAATCACCCCCTGCACAGCTGTTCACTGCCCACTGTAAAACAATTCAATAGAAATCTGACACAGTTTTCAATCTAATTTGTGGTTAGTCATTACAATAATTGGATATTCATCTATATACTACTAAAAGTCAACTTTGTTTACATGTTTGAATATTTATTTGTTTGCCTGATCGAAAATTGTGATATGTTCGACTCTATCTGGAAAGCTGTAAAATGGTATGCAGGTAGAGAATAATTTTTTAATGCAGACAGACTGTTGATCACAAATTTATTTAAAGACGTTAATTAATTTATTGATTTATTCCTACGCAGAATAACCCATTTTTTTTTAAAATATTTGAAAAGCCACTAGACTCGGCGGGACCGTGACGTCACAGGTTTTTGTTTACTCTTTAGTACAATAAAATGGCGGCGTCTATTGAAGAAAATTGTGTTCCCATTCAAAAGTTTAACGCGTTCTAAATCTAATTTTCTGTCGGTCATAACTTTAACAATACGTCCGTTTGCTGTATTTATTACGTTCCAACACTTATATCAATTTTAAACTGTCTTTTTTCATTTAGTTTTACAATAAATTTCTCTAGATTTAAAGATCTCTAGATCTATGCGCGGAGACTCAAAAGTATAGTATAAAAATTCATTTGTGACGTCACGAGAAAATAGCTAAGTTGGTAGCGTAGCCCGCTCTCATGTGGGTGGCACAGGTTCTAGACCAATATGTCAATGATATTTTTTTTCAATTTTTTTTTTAGATGTGAATGATAAAGTTGCCTATCTGAACTTGGCAGGATACAGGGCAGGTGAAGTAGAGTTCATCTGTTTCTTTGTCCTAAGCATATGAAAGGATAGTGTGGTCAGAGACATGCTCGGCTGGAATCGTTTTTTAAACGATAAAAACATGTTGTCTGAGACTTGGCGGGACACTGGGCAGGTGAAGTAGAGTTGAGTAGGTCACATGTGACGTCAGTATATGAAGGGATAGTCCGAAATCGGTGTTTTCGGTGTTTTTAAAAGATATGAAACATATTTTTGAATGTGGGCTCTGTTTTTGTGACGATAAGTGACACTGCAGTAGCGTAGCGAGGAGGGGGGTGGGAGGGGGAGTGGAGGCGGGGGGGGGGAGGGGAGGAGGTGGAGGGGGGAAGGGGGGCGGGGGGGGGGGACATATGTTGGGGCGCCAAAATGGTTTGGAAAAATAAACTGAAAGGTTGAGGGGGGTGCAAATCGAAAGTTTGAGTAGGGGGGGGGGGTGCACATCAAAAGTTTGAGGGGGGGGGGGGTTGAAAATCGAAATCTTGGGGGGGGGGGGTTAAAATCGAAAAGTTTGTCCCCGGGCGCCGGGAAGGCTCTCTATGCCTCTGAGTGACAGACGTGATGTTTTTTGATGGATGACCCCCGAAACCCACAGTTATCCAACGGATGACGGGTATTCTAGTTGTCCTTAAAAATTGAAAACAAATCACTCCAAGAGGTGTATTATACGCTGCTTACCAAAACATATTGAAATAGTAGGCTAATACTAGCAGTATTATTAAGTGACGGATGATTATTATTTGAATGGAGGCGAGCGAGTTGACGAGATTCCGTCCCCAATGTTGTTGACATGGAATAAAAACGTGCTTTTTAGATTTAGACCGTAAAAAAAAAATAAAAAATAAAAACTTAAGCCTAAAATTAATTTAGAAATTTTATATTTTTAGAATAAATGTTATAAAAGTTGCAAATCCAGAGAACTTGAAAATAATTTGTTGAGTTTAAGGCTACATTTCTATTTATTTTCATCAAGCCTAAGTTATAACCGGATGTTTCACTTTCGTAAGACAAATATTGATTGGCTGTACAGTAACTTAGTGATCGATAACTATTTGTTTACAAAACTTTGCAGATCAAGTTTTTAAATTACAATGCAAATTTAAAACCCCATGACCTAGTTTTCTATTTTTAGCTTACAATGTGTACAATAAAATCAATGGCGACCTATCCAATAGCAGGATGCCATTGTTTATGTCGCCATTACACGTGAAAACCAAATTGTTTTTGCTTTTTTTTAATTTTTATTTAGTTACCGAAAATATTATAAACATCAAATACATCCAATCTTTAGTAAAGTCCGAAAAAAACCAGATAGACAGGATTTTATAACCATATTAATTGTAACTACGCTGTGCATGATTTTTAAATGAATTTATACACCTCTCAAATACCTTTGAGACTTTTCTCGCTGGTGTCCATTGGTTAGTTAAGCCGTTTGGGTAGTTGGGACGTTGTGTTGATGGCATTAGCTCGTTTCAAATATAGGTTGATTATTTGGTAAATTATAATGTTAACAATTTTCGGGCAAACGGCCTTCGGGCAAGTGTCTTTCGGGCATTTGTCGCATTTAGGCAAGTGTCCATTCGGGCATTTGTCGCATTCGAGCGTTTGGCGCATTCGGTTAAGTGTCCATTCGGGAAATCGGCCTTCGGGCAAACGGCATTCGGGCAAGTGTCTTTCGGGAAAACGTACGGCTCCCGCATTGAAGACATGTGGCGTTGTTTTGATGACATATGACGTTGTGTTGATGACATTAGTTCGTTTTTTGATGACATGTGACATTGCGTTGATGACATGTGACGTTGTTTTGGATGGCTTGAAGGTGGTATTGAAGGTAACATTTTTTTTTATTAAAAGGACATGGTATATTATTTTATATTAAGAACGTTGTATATTTTTGATGCATACGATGACTGAACCCCACATGTTCGATGAATGATTAGCGGTACTCTGTCATACACCACCGAATGTTTATTTACTTTTAATATTATGAGCTCATTATAAATATCTCACGAGCTTAAACTAAATGAAAACATATGAAACATGGCGGGATTTCATTGAAAGATGACAGAGGGCACAAGTCAGACATCTAAATGCTGACCTTACAAAAGACATCTAAGTGCTGAACTTACACAAGACAGCATAGTGCTGACATGACCAATGTGTCCTTACTATCAGCACCAAGATTAGACCAATTTGTCCTTATTATCAGCCCCAAGATTAGACCAATGTGTCCTTACTATCAGCACCAAGATTAGACCAATGTGTCCTTACTATCAGCACCAAGATTAGACCAATGTGTCCTTACTATCAGCACCAATATTAGACCAATGTGTCCTTACTATCACCCCAAGAAAAGACCAATGTGTCCTTACTATCAGCACCAAGAATAGACCAATGTGTCCACACTATCAGCACCAAGATTAGACCAATTTGTCCTTACTATCAGCACCAAGATATGACCAATGTGTCCTTACTATCAGCACCAAGATTAGACCAATGTGTCCTTACTATCAGCACCAAGATTAGACCAATGTGTCCTTACTATCAGCACCAAGATTAGACCAATGTGTCCTTACTATCAGCACCAAGATTAGACCAATGTGTCCTTACTATCAGCACCAAGATTAGACCAATGTGTCCTTACTATCAGCACCAAGATTAGACCAATGTGTCCTTACTATCAGCACCAAGATTAGACCAATTTGTCCTTATTATCAGCCCCAAGATTAGACCAATGTGTCCTTACTATCAGCACCAAGATTAGACCAATGTGTCCTCACTATCAGCACCAAGATTAGACCAATGTGTCCTTACTATCAGCACCAAGATTAGACCAATGTATCCTTACTATCAGCAATAAGATTAGACCAATGTGTCCTTACTATCAGCACCAAGATTAGACCAATGTGTCCTTACTATCAGCACCAAGATTAGACCAAAGTGTCCTTACTATCAGCGCCAGGATTAGACCAATGTGTCCTTACTATCAGCACCAAGATTAGACCAATGTGTCCTTACTATCAGCGCCAGGATTAGACCAATGTGTCCTTACTATCAGCACCAAGATTAGACCAAAGTGTCCTTACTATCAGCGCCAGGATTAGACCAATGTGTCCTTACTATCAGCACCATGATTAGACCAATGTGTCTTTACTATCAGCACCAAGATTATACCAATGTGTCCATGTTGTTGTCAGCAACAACAGGGTCCCTTAGTTCCAATAAGTTTCAACCCGCATCAGCACTCCAATAATCGATTTCTTAAGGATGGACAAGAAAGGGTGGGATGGGGGGGCAGGGAGTCGGCTTAGATCGTCGAACAGGTCTTAACAACATAGGCCCGGAGCATTATATAGCCTAGGTCTTTACAAACTAGGCCCGGTGTTTAATGTCTTGGCCTCTAAATAATAAATTAGGGCCTTAGAGCCTAGATTTTCACAACCTAGGCCTTTGGCTTAGAGCCTAGATCTCTACAACCTAGGCCACTGCCTTAGAGCCTAGATCTCCACAACTTAGGTCCTTATCTTAGAGCCTACGTCCACAACCTAGGCCCTTGTCTTAGAGCCTAGGTCTCCACAACCTAGGTTATTGGCTTAGAGCCTACGTCCA